AGCCAATATTTTCGATTTTCCTGATGCAATTTTTGACTGTGCATGGGCTGAATCGAATGAAAATTTAATAGTTTCCTGTTGTGGAAATGGTTCAATATATCTTTTAGGTATATTTTTTTTAAAAAAATATTATAAATAATATTTATTTTCATTAATAAATAGATATTTAAAACAATAAAATAATATAGGAATTAAAAGGTCATATAAAAGAGGTTTTTAGTGCTGAATTTTAACATTAAAATCCTAATATATTTCTTTCTGGTGGAAAAGATGGCCATGCAAAAATTTGGGACTTTTAAGTGATGAAATTAATGATAGATTTAAGTGCTCATGTAGATGCCTGTCATTAGGCTTCGTGGCATCCTGTTAATTAGAATTTATTTAGTACAGTAGGCTTGGATTCAAGTTTGAAGATATGGGATTTGAATATGCCTTAAAAGCCTTTGGCTGCACTTAAAGTACATGATAGTGATGTTTTGGGCTCTGATTTTAATAAATATGATGAAATTATAGCCACTTGTTCTACTGACAATACTATAAGGTTATGGGATTTAAGAAATTTAAAAGTACCCGTTAATATATTAGGAGGACATAGGTACCCAGTTAAAAAAGTAAAGTTCTCACCGCATAATTAAAATATTTTATTGAGTGGATCTTATGATATGAATGTATGCGTTTGGGATATTTCAGATCCGATTTAGCCTTTGAAATTTACTCATAAAAATCATAGTGAATTTGTAATGGGTATAGATTTTAATAATTTCAATGAATTATAAATAGCATCAACAGGATGGGATGGAAGAGTTCTAATTTGGGATTTTAATAATGTTTAACCTAGTATTTGAGTTTATAAAATAAAAACATAAAGTATTTTTATAAATATATATATATATATATATATATATATATATATATATATATATATATATATATATATATATATTAAAAGCATTATTAACTTTTTTTAATTTTATATCATAATTATTTTATATATTAATTTTATTTATATAATAATTTTTTTTTTTTATTATGTTAATATTTTAATAATTTTTTTTTTATAATAATTGAATTGTCTTTTTTTTATATCAATTTTTTATATTTTGATATTATAAAATTAATTTTTTTTTTTTTATAAAAATTATTAAATCAATAAAATTAATTAATTTTTAACAGATATACAATAATAATTAAATTAAATTTATATAAAAATCTAAAAATGATAAGTATAGCAATCTAATGCTTTGAAAAAAATTAAAATGATTTAAGCAAAGACTAATTAATTTTAAGTAATATGTTTATTCGACAAATAGATTAAGTTCCTTTAAAATATTAATACATAAGTGATTTGAATCTTTCACATAATATGATATAAAGTTTAATTGGAATTTAATCATTTAAATATTTGAAAAATTTGGATTTAAAGTTCAATTTTATAGCATCTATAGAAGAATTAGAATATATATAAAATAAATCTTATTTATTATTTTTAAATTTAAAAGGTAACCCAATAATGTAAAAAAATTAAACCTTTAATTTTGCAAATAAAAGTTTTTCCCTAATTTATAACTTTTTGAAGAAGATATAATATATAATAATAATAAATCATAAAATATAATAAATTAACCTTATATAAATAACTTTTAATTATAAATTTTTTAAAAAAGATTGTATAAAATAATAAATGCTAATCAGTAAGATAGATAGATAAATATAATAATAATAATAATAATAATAATAATAATAATAATAATAATAATAATATAACAGCTAATTTTTATTAAAAGCCTATATAAATATTAGCCAGAAGTAGTAAAAGTGTAAGCGAATTTAATTAATTGTAAGATAAGATATAATTGGAAAGAGAAAAATCATTAAAAAGCATTAAGAAATTATAAAGCGATTTTTAAATTGTAAATTAAAACTTGCAAAATTTACAAGTTTACTTATAATCATCAAAGATAATAGAAAAATATTAAAGAATTAATAATAAAAATAAATATTTTTAATTTGATGATAAAAAAATAAAAAAAAATGATACTTATATAAATTCTAAAAATAATTAAAAATTTTAAACTACAAGAATTTCTTATAAATATAATAGTTTTGTAAGGCCTTTTAATTTCCAGAATGTTTTATGTACACAAAAAATATAAAGTTTTAAAGGTATTGAAAGTAATTTATCATAATAAAAATAAAAAAAAGATGTAAGAGAAAAAAAAAAGATTGAAAATTATTAGTTTTTAGATAATAATAATAATAATAATAATAATAATAATAATAATAATAGTATTAATAATAATAATATTTAAAAAAATTTTAATAAAATAAATATAAATAATTAAAATAATTACAATAATTTTAAAAAAAATATATCATAAATAATGAGTCCCATTTAATGTTAAAAAAGTGTATCTAATACAATTTTTATTGATAATAATTTTAGGTAAAAATAAATAAATTTTAAAATATTTGATTCTGTTGAGAATTATTCTGTTAAGAATTAGTCTAATAGTTTAGTTGTTAAACATATAGATAATATTGATTGTGATATTTAAAATTTGATAATTGAATTTCATGAAAGAAATCTTTTATAAAAAGTCTTTAAAATCTTTAAATTAATAAAATAATAAAAAATTGAAATATCAACTAAAAGTACAATATTTTAATAAAAAAGGATTTTAATAAAAGCTTTATTTTCTTGGAAAAATTATAATACAATATAAATTAATAATAAAATAGCGATGAAAAAGATTAAATATATATCACAAAAAAATTAATGAATAAAATAATTAATTATTCTAATATTAAAAATAAAATATTATATGTATAAAACTATATATGCAAAATATAAAATAATATAATATAATTATATATATAAATAAATATATATATTTAGATATATATATATCAGTTTTTATTAATAATCAATTAAAAGATTTTATTAAAATATAAATTTATAAATTTCACCATTCTAATTATTCTGTAAATTTTTCATATTCATTTGCTCCTTCATAATATTAAGAATACCATTCTCTCCAAATTTTAAGTCTTTAATCTAAAGGACATTTTGCGTTATAGTTAAGTTATGATTAAAATATTTTATTATTCCAAATAATTTTATCTGCTCCAAATTAAGATTTAAATATATATATAACATAAGCACTAAACCAATAAGGTACCCACCAAGGTGCGAATATTTTATGATGAACAACCTAACTGAATTTTTCTAAAGGAGTAACACTTTAAACAACTATTAGGTCAGTAAACGAAAATTTTAAAAATAGAAAAACTGTTCCAGGTCCTATTTAGAATACTGTTACTGTTTATATATGAATTTTAATTTTATTAAAAATGCATAAGTATGTATCTATAATTAAATTATTAATAAACTTTTTATTATTATCTTTAATATAATTATCAAATAGATTATTTTAGTATTTTTAGATTTCTTTATTCCAATGTTATCTCATAATCTCGTTGAAATCAGCGTCAGTAGGCTTTCTATCTTTCATGACCCATTTTAATTTAAACCAAGGGAACAATGTTTCCACCCAAGCATAATGAATGTACTCGAAATGCTTTTAATCTGCCCCATTTTCCGGTATTTCTTATATTTGGCAATTTACATAATCTCTAAATTCTCCCCTATCTTCATATCCGGTATTTTTTTAGACATCAAAAATCTCGTACATGGGCTCTAAGTCTTTTGAATGGAACCAAATGTATATTAGACTGTTTTTTTCACGTATATGGTATTTTTTTAAATGCGATTTCTCCTTTCGGTTTTCGCATTCTTTTATGAAATTTCCCTATAGGTCTTTTGTCATATTTTAAACGTCGTTATATATTTAGAATGTTGTAATTTTATCATCTAATAATTCAGAGTTTACTGCTTTGCCTGTTTTTCCGTCAAATGCCCATCCATGAAAAGGACATTCTATACACGAATTCCATTTTACTTTACCTTGAATACCTAAATTAGCCCCCATATGTGTGCAAAATGCATCAAGGGCGTATACTTAGTCATCTTCACCCCTAAAAATGGCTACATGACGACCATTTATTTTAAAGTATTTTGAATATCCGGTCTCTATTTCCTATTTTTGGCATATACGGAACCAACCATTTGGGTAAGAGGGAGGAGAGTGGCCTCTTTTAGACTTCGCACGCTGTTGAGAATAATTTAAGTTGTCATTAGGGCTATATTATTTTAATTTTAGAACATATAAAAAATAGAGAAATGAGATGGATAAGAATAAAAAGGTTTAAAAGATTATTTAGGTATTTTAAAGAGATTTTATGAATTCAAGAGTATTTTATAATGCTTATTCGATTATCAACATATGTTTTTTAATTTTTTTTTATTTATTTTTTTTATTATTTTTTTTTTTATTTTTTTTTTATTTTTTTTTCCTTTTAACTTTTTCCTTTTTAAAGTAAAAATGAATTATATTTTACAGTTTTTAATTTTTAAATATTTATTTTAAAAATTATAATATGTTTTTTTATCTATTTTTTAATTGATATAAGATATTTATCATTTATATGATTATAATTATTAATTTTTAAGATAACGCTTAATTTAGATAATTTGTTTGTCAGGTAAATATAATTATTATTTATTTTTGTTTAATTATTTTTATTATAGATTGTAGATAGATATTTATAAAATTATTATAATTTTATTAATAATGCGTAAAAAATTTAAATTAAAATTTTTTTAATTTAAGTTTTTTTAAAGAAAAATTTAATTTACTTTTTTAATAAATATATTTAAATATCTATAAAAATTAAAATTAATAAAATATATTAAAATAGGAATATAGAAATATATATTATATATAAAAATATATTTTATAAAAAAATATAATTTTATATATATATTATATTATAATATATATAAATAATTATTTAAATATACCTATTTTTATATATTAATATGTTATATTATATATGCTATATTTTTAATATTAAGCAAAAAATATAAATTTAAAGAAATCAAATTTAAAAAAAAATATCTTACATATTAATCATAATAAGCTAAATGATATAACTACAATAACTACAATCAATTATTCAATATATAAAAATCCATAAAAAAATATCAATTTTTTATATCTTAATAATCTTAATAATATTAAAAAAGATAAAAAATCGGTTTTTATCATACTAATCTCGTAAATATAAATACTATTCATCTTCCTACTTAAACAATTCTGTAAAAAAATACCTTTAAGAAAGAAACTTTAAGCTTTTCAAATTTTTCGAAAAATACGAAAATGCAGTTTCTTAAAAAATTCAAAATGAAATATTAAACACTAAATCGATTCAAGACCTTCATAATAAAATTAAAAACAACTAAATTACTTGTGAATAAATATATATTACTTACTCTCTCCGTTTAATAAAATACTCTTACCCTCTAAACCATTTAGCAGATGTAAATTTGGAAAAAGGCTTATATGAAGCTTAATAAAAAGACTTATAAAAACCAGAATAAATACCCATTTTATACGGAATTCCAATTGCTGTAAAAGACCATATTACTACAAAAGGCCTTTTTAGTACAATGTGCTTATAATCACGTTTAGTGGATTAATACGAGCGATAAAAAAGGGAAAATACAGATGATTTTCAAGAAGGAGACAATCATAACGAAATACACGAATACAATGATTGCGAATACATAAAAAGTTTAAAATAATACGGCGCAATAATAATATCAATGACAAATACTCCCATAAACTGCCTACATTTTATAACTGATAATAAAATATTTGGTTTTTCCTAAAACCCATATAACCATAAAAGAACAACTGGAGGTTCATCAGGAGGATCAGGAGGGGTAATGGCTATTAGAGGATGTTGTGTTGCTATAGGAAGCGATATTTTAGGTAGTATAAGAATGCCTTCGGCTTGGTGTGGTATTTATGGATTTAACCCTTCTGGGAAAAGAATTTCGAAAAAAAATTCCATGGGGTTCAATTTGGAATATGATTGTGATAGTTTAAAGAGTATTTAGTGCTCTTTTGGGCCTATGGGGAAATGCGTTTAGGATTTAGTGGATATTCAAAAGTGTGTTTTTGGGAGTTTTGGGGATAAAGATTTAGCTTGTATAAATTTGGGCTTTAGTTAATTTAGTTATTAGGAAAAAACTTAGTTTAGGTTTGGAATTTTAAAGGACGACAAAGCAATAGGATTGGCAGATTTTAATAAAAATTTATTAAATGAAATTAAAGGTTTATTGAAGAAAAATCTATATGAAGTTGTCGAATTCGAGATATCGGAAGAGTTTTGGGAATTAGAGTATATTACGAAGAAGTTTATTATAGGTAGTCTACCTGAATCTTGGCTTTTGAATGAGTTGAGAGGAGAAAAAACTCTTTCTAGTGTAGAAATGGGAATTCATAAAAGAGAATTACCTTGTTTTTTGTAAACAATTATTAAATATATATTCAAGGGAATAGGGGAGGAAATAATAAGTTAGAATGTGGATTGTTGTATTTCTTTTTCTAGTATATAATATTAATAATTTGAAAATAGAAGATCTTTTTTAAAAAAGAAGTTTTTTAATTACTGGAAATAAATGAATATAGACGCTCTTATATTACCTGTTTCATATTATTGGGCTCCATAACAAAATGAAGATTAACTTCTTGCTTGTAGGTTTTTTGGAGGACTTACAAATACCTTAGAATTACCTACTGGAACTTTTCCAATGAGATATGCAGGAGAATAAGATGAAGGTTTTAAAGTCAGTTTTTGGGAAAAAAATAGAATTTTAAAGAAGTTAATTTAAAAGAATCTTAAAGGGATTAAAGGAATTCCGATTGGACTTTAGGTAGCTTGCTTGCCAATGGAAGATGAGAAGTGTTTGAAGGCTATGAAGATTATTGAAGAGTTAAATGACGGATTTTCACCTTTTGCAGAATGATATTTTATAAATATTAACAGTATAAAATATTTAAAAGTATTAATAATTTTTATAAAAATAAAATAAAAAATTTTAGGATATAGACTTCTTAAAATTTTATTTATAAATTTTTTTTTTTATAGTATTTTATTTCTTAAAAATTATGAACAAACATTTTTTATCAATATTATTTATTATATATAATATACATTCTTATAATTTATTAGAAGTATTACGTACTTTTTGTAATAAATAAATTTACATTTTTTTTTTTATAACAATAATAATAGTAGAAATAAAGTCCATTATATATATCAATTTACAACATATTTTAGTTATAAAATATCATGTAATTTAGCGCTAATATTATTGCAATAATTAAAATATTATAATTATTCCATCCTTTGTCAATATTAATCTAATAAAGTCGAAAGTAATTTCATTTTCAAAATAACTTCCTTTTATGTTTATTATTTAATTTAAAAATTACAATTAACATTAATAAATTTCTATACTTAATAAATATGCGTCTTTTCACATTTTCAAGTTTTTTTTTAATACAAATTCAGGTATTTTACATACACAATAATTAGTACTTATTTTGAATGAAATTTCAGGTTTGGTTGAATATTGTAAATTTAAATAAATACAAATCATATATTTATCCTCCAATACATCTTAAAGTAATAAGATCTTATAATAAAAAACTTCACCAGACTCTTAATCTATCACAGTATTGAATAATAAATAGTAATAGTAATTATTATTTCATATTTTTTGGTTATTAATTTTAAATTGCTTTTTATGGAACATGTAAAATTATATTTAATCGAATAAATAAATCTTAAATACAAAGAATATTATGAATTATGTTAATAAGTAAATGATGAAAAAAACATATATAATTAATTGAATTATTATTACATATAATATAAAAAATATATCTAATAAATTTAGATAATAAAAAAAACTGTAAGCTTTATTATTATGAAAAAATAATAAATAATTAATTATAAATAAAAAAAATATAAATTTAATATGACTTTTATAATTAAAATTTCTATTATATATATATAGATATATATATATATATATATATTTATATATATATATATATATATATTTTTAAAATTAATTTATCTAGATTTTTTATGAATTATTTATTTAGAATTCAAATTATGAATATAATTAGCTATAAGTATTATCCATAATTTGCAATAATATTATTCTTTTAATATTTATATTTTTAACTATACTTAATTATAAAAATAATATATCCATATTTAAATATTATTTTTTTTTTAAAAAAAAAATAAAAAATATACATTTTAAATGGAAAAAAAAAAAGGTTGATAACTTAAAATAAATAAAAAAACAATAAAACAATAAAAAAAATATTTAAATAATATCATTATAGATAATTATATAAAATATATAATTATTGTTTAAATATTTCATTATTACAATAAATTTAATAATTATTTAATATAAATTTTTTTATTATAAAAACATGAAATGAAATATATTTTATTTTATATATGTTTGATAAATAATAATTTATTATAATATTTACTTCAACTAAATATATAATAAATATAAAAACTTATTTTATATAAAATATTTTAAACTAAAATTAAAGTATTAAGATTTTTTATTTTTAATAGTTAATTACATATTATATAATGATAAAATAATTTTATTATTTTATTAATTAATCTCTTATAATTATTATAAAAATTACGAAAACAAAATTATAAGAAATTATATAAAATAATTATAATAATATTTTAAAATATATTAATTTGAAACAAAATATCTTAAAAGAATATAATTATTTTAAAGAAAATTATTATATATATATATTTATATATATATATATATATATATATTATTATATATATATATATTTTAATTTACGACAAATCTATATTAATTTTATATTTTTTATTCATATGCAGAACGATTTCTTAAAAAGCTAAAAAAATATAGGTTATTTTAGCAATTAAAGGTCCAAAACTTATTTTACGATAAATATAAATAGATTAATTCCATGATTTTTTTACAAAATCATAAATATGTCCTATTCCCACTTTAATATTAGGAAAGCCTATTTCTATTCTAAAATAAATATAAAGTGAAAATTTTTAATTTTAATTAAGTAATCATTAAGCTGCCCGCCTTATGATAGAAATCGAAACAGGTTTAGCCCCTTTTGAATGGTAAAATTAAGTAGGAGACGTAATTATAGGAAGATTGGATTAAACCGACATTAAAATTTAATAAATATAATAATTAAACTTATACATATCTCATTTATTTGATATATATACTTCTGATATTCCTTTAAAGATCAATAATTTTGATTTTAAATAATATAATATTTTTATAAAAGATTTTTAATAAAAAGCAGAATAAGCTGAAATTCTTAAAAATGTTGGAAATAAATTACTAAAGAAAAACGAGTTTCAAAAAGCTTTAGAAAATTATCAAAAAGCTTTAATATCAATTTAATTTTTAAATGAAAATTTAGATTTTATTTAAGGTTTCGAATATAAAGATACAATAATATCTATTTTTCTAAATATATCTTTAGTATATATGAAATTAAATTAAAATAAAAAAGCTATTGAATATTTAAATTAAGTGCTAAATATAGACAGATTAAATATTAAAGGCTTATATAGAAGAAGTTTATGTTATTATAATGAATAATAATATTAAAATGCTTAATTTGATATATAATTATTACTAATTTAAGATCTTTAAAATACTGAAGGTTAAAATTTATATAAATAAATTTAGGATAATATTAAAGATGAAGATGACGATAATTATTTCGATATTATATAAAATTTAAGAATGCTAAAAAATTATACCTAAAAATAAAAGTTTTGGACTTTTTAATAAATAAAGGATGAATTAAAAAGTAAAGGAGGGACCCATGAAATAATTTAGATATTTGATTAATAAATGTATGAAAAATGCAAAAAAATCTATACAATGTTTTAAGAACTAAATAAAACTAAAATCATTGAAATTGGGTTATAAATTTATTAAGAAAAAGGGTTTCCAGGACTTTCTTATAGTTATACAATTATTACTTTATATTCTGATTTAAGATTTGATTTAGAACTTTAAAGTTAGACAAAATGGATTTTAAATGATTTATTTTAAAATATAGGAGGTTGGTAACCTTGAATTATTATATATATTAGATTATTTATCATATATTTTTTTTTATGGTTTTGGTAAAATATCATTTTCAAAAATAAATTTTTTAATAATAAGATTATTTTCATATTTTTATTTTTTTTGATTAGAATATATATTTATTAATTTTTTTTAAAAAAAAGATATTAATAATAAAAGTTATATATGACAAAAATTATATTTTATTTTATTTAAATATTTTTTCTCGCATTATTTTTACTTAATTTTTTTATATGGACATTATATGTAAATTTATTTATGATCAAAATAATATTAAATAGGTTTTTATATAATATAAATATTATTTTAAAGAAATATAACTAGAATAGCTTTATTTATTCTTTATAAGTTTTAAATATTTAAATTTATAGTATTCGAATATTATTATTTGTAAATATATTCAAATAATTAGATTTAATACACGTTTATTTTGTAAATCATAGATAATTAATTTAAGCTATTATAATATAAAATTATATTTATTATATATAAAATATTTAAAAGCTAAATTATCAAATATTGAGCATTAAGAATATTTATTATCGAAATTAAATTAACTTTTATTTTATAATTTATAAAATATTTCTTAATATAATTGACAATCAAATTTATTTGATAGCATATTTATTATTACAATTATATATTTTATTATTAAAATATGTTTTGTACCTTATTTTCACTTCATTGTATATTTTAAAAAGAATAGAAATAAAAAGAACTAGTATAGATTTAAAAAAGTTAATACAGCTTTCAAACTTTTTATTTTTTAAATAAATATTATTTTTTTCACTAAAATTTCTAATAAAAGTTTTTTATTTTTTTAATTACATTTATATATAGGTTTTACCTAAAACTTTAAATGTATTTTTTTATAGAAGTTTACCTTTAAATTTAATTATTTGTTTTTTATTTTTATACTCCTATTTAATTTTACATAATATAATAGTTTAAAATTTTATATTTAAAAATAAAATGGGATAATATAGGTAAATAATAATCAAATATAGTTAATTAAAAGTAACAAAAAACATATAAAATAAAAGTTTTTAAATAAAAAAAATATTTCTTATAAAAGATTTCAAATTAATAGTATTTAAAAATAATAATAATAAATATTTAAAATAAAGAATATTAAAAAATAATACTATAATTAGATATCTTTTAAATGCTTTTTACATAATTATTGAATTTAATTTTTTCTTATAGTACTTATTTAATATTCATATTTAAGAATATATATATAAATTTTAAAATTAACATTTTTTTAAACTTAAATTGTCTTAAAACTAGTTTTTTATATATAAATATTAAATTATTCTATATTTTCTAATTAAATGTTTATAAAGTATAATAATTATGAAATAATCTAATATATTTGATTTTAAGTTTAATAGATATATTGTATTACTACATTTTTATTTCTTTAAAATTATAAATTAAATTAATTATATATAAAATTTTTCATCTTTTAATGTATTTTTATTTTAGTTTTTTAAATAATATTAAATTATTATTATAAAAATACTTTTTTTAAAAAGAAGTATTATTTTTCGACTGTGAAATATATTTTTTTTATATAAAACTAAAAATATTTAATAAATATTATATATTTTGTTCAACAAAAATTCTTGTTTTGAAAATATAAAAAAAGTATACATAAAAAATATAATAATATTTTTTACTAAATAAAATAAAAATAAAAAAAATAATTTCATTTAAAAGTTGCAAAAGATCTTAATTTTTATCCATCAACAACAGAAGCATCATCTTCAGTATTAGTCCAATAATTGGTGATAGTTTATAAGTCTTTAGCATCCTTAATATTTAATTTTTACCATTTATGATATTCGAATTAGGGGTTTTCTTTCATTGATTCAGGAACTTCAGTTCCTTAGAACAACCAAACACCTTTAATTTCTAAATTAGGTTCATCTCCATAGATAGAATAGGTACCAAAGGCTACTTTTCTAGCAGCTTCAGATCTTTAAAGGAATCCATTTTTTTAATTATTGAATTAATAGAGTATTTTTCCTTCGCCTTCATACTTTTCATAATGAGAGAAATAAACACATTAATCATCTTCATGCCAGTTTTCAACCAAAAATTTAACTGCTTCGTTTTTATCTTTAGCGTTAGTATATAAAGTTTTGAAGTTGTAAATATCGAATTTGTGCTAGACAGCGGGTTTTTCTTCTTTCTTTTTGGGAGATTCATTAGGTGATTATTCTTTCTTAGTAGCTTTTTTAGGAGATTCTTTTTCCTTAGGAGCTTGCTTCTTCTATTCAACGGGTGCAGGCTTTTTAACTTAAGTTTAAGGTTAAGGTTAAGGCCATTCAGTTTAAGTATAGAAAGCTCTTCCTTAGTATTTTACGAATTAGGGTAAGGCAGAAACTCTTCCGAACCATTCAACAATATGGGGAATTGTTTTTCTGTATTTTTCGTCAAAGATAGTTTTGAATGCAACAAAGAATAAACCGGTCAAAGAAATATCGGCTATAGTTAATTCTTCTCCAGCTAAATATTTACGGGAGGAGAGGAATTATTCAATTACTTTTATGTAGGTTTAAAGTTAGTTCTTTTATCTGAAATAAGTTTCCTTGTCATAGGCTGCATGTCCGATTATGGGGAAAAATAAGGCAGTGAAAGCAGGTGTAACTTCGCTTTGGGCGAAATCTATGAATTAATCTACAAGCCCTTATTAATAAGTGGTTTTACCGTATAATTTACCGGAGGCTCTGGCTAAATATCTTAAGATTGTGTTAGTTTCAAATAAGTATCCTTCTGCGGTTTAAAGGACTGGAACTTTTCCTACAGGGTTTCTTTCTAAATGTTCCTTGGTTTTAGTTTCAGTATATTCAACATTTACATGTTCTATTGGGAGACCTGCAAGTTCAGCTACAATTAAGATTAAGTTGGCTCTCATGTTTCCAATTGGGGCGTATAATTTTAAAGTCATTTCTTTTTACTTTTACTTTTTTTTTTTTACTTTTTTATTATTATTTTTTTTTAGTTTTTCTTTTATTATTATTTTATTTTATTTTATTGTAATAAACAAAGAATAAATTTAATTTTATATTATTTTATATTTTTTAAAATTATATTGTCATTATATATCTATATTTTATTTTATAAAAATATTATATATAAAAATAATAAATATTTTATTTATTATATTTATATATTACATAAAAAATCAAAGAAAGAATTTATTAAAAAATATAAATAGTTTTTTTTAGTAAAAATTATGTTTTAAATGATTATATGTATAAAAATAAATTCTATTTTATAAAAATTTATTAATATAATCAATCTTTATGTTTTTTGATCGATATAATTATATTTTTTAAAAGATATAATTTATGCAATTTAATTTAACTATTTTTTTTTTAAAAAAAAATATTTAAATTATTAATAAAAAAGGAAGATTCATTAATACCAAATAAAATAATAATAATGTATTTTATATAAATTTATTTAAATATAAATAATGTTTAAAATTAAAAAATTTTTTTTTTTATGTAATAAAGACTTTTAAAAATATATTTTTTATATTATTTGTGTTTAAAAAATAATATCAAAATATATATAATTCTTTCAAAATATATAAAAAATTATATATTGAACTACTAATTATGATTAATGAATAATGAATATTAATTTATACAAAAATTTTAATTATATTACTTACTTATACTATTTTTTATTTAAAATTTTTAATAATAATAATTAAATTTTAAATGACTCAAGAAAAAATATATACAATTTTAATTAATTTTTAAAATATTCATTTATAATAATTTTTTGTTTTATATCATGATAATATAAATTTTTTTAAAAAATAAATGAAAATATATTTTTTTTTATAATTATAACTTTAATTATATTAAAAATAAAATAAAATACAACTAAAATAAATTTAATAAATTCATGTTTAGTGTGTTTTCTCTTGTAAATTCAATTAGTAAAAAGTAAATGAATAAACTTTAATATAGAATAATAAATGTTAAAATAAATATTTTTATATTAAATAAATATTAAATTGTTTTATCTATTAATAAAAATTATTATTTTTATATAAATATATATATAAATAAATATAAATATATATATAAATAAATAAATAAAAATAAATAAATATATATTATTTTTTATTTTTTTTATATATAAATATATTAATTTCATAACAGTTATTAACATAAAATATATATAAAATATTTATTTATTAATTATAATATTAACTCTAAATATAATTATTTATTAAATAAATTCGATTCATTTACATTAATACCAATTATCTCCGATTTTTGCGTCAACTTCCATTTTCAACAAAAGCGGCATGTCAAGTGGATTTTCCATAATTTTAATTACAAGCTTTAACGCTTCTTCCGCATTTTCTGCTGGCCCTTCTAAAATAAGCTCGTCATGAATCTACAACACTAATTCATATCCCAATTCCTTAATTTCTTAATTCTATTAAATTTTAACCATAGCAGCAATAACAAGATCTGCTGCCCCTCCCTATATAGGAGTATTAATAGCTGCCCTCAATCCATGTGAAGCAATAGAATCTGGGCTTTTGCTGTTTAATAATTTTGCAAGATTTCTATACCTACCCATCAATGTTTATGAACATCCTTTTTCTAAAGCAATGTTTTTAGTTTTAGTTTACCAAGTTTTGACTTCTTGTCTTTCTGAAAACCATTTTTCTAGTGTTTCTTAAGCTTCCTATAATGAACATCCCCAGTCTTTTGAAAATCCATGTGCACTTTTCCCATATGCAATAGAAAAGTTCATCATTTTCGCTTTTTTACGTTCACTTGAGTATTTATCCTTTAATAAAGGTGCTGGTGGACTTCCTTTATTTTTATCCCATTCTAGTAGTAGTTTCCCTTCTTCGATTTCTTTTTTGATTTCAGGATACATAGTCATTGCAGTTCTACTATGGAAATCTCCTCCTTTATGAAAAGCATCTAACATCGCCTTACATTTGGTCATATGAGCCAAAATTCTTAACTCTAATTGCCCATAATCAGCTACAATAAGCTTATTTCCTTTTGAAGCTTAAAATGCAGATCTTATTTTATATACATCCTTGTCTAAAGCAGGCTGATTCAATAAATTAGGCTTTCTGGCTGAAATTCGGCCTGTTTCTGTATTTATATTTAATGAACAATGTATTCTATTATTTTTATCGGCTGTTTCTCTTAAGGGAATAATGAAAGTTTATAGAAGAGTTTCTGTTTATTTTAATTATATTAATGCTTGTATACTTTTTGAGGCTTTTTAGGCTAATTCTTCTTATCCTTATTTTCTATAAAATTCCCCTATTTTCCCGAAATCTCCGTTTTCTGGATTTCCAGCGAGTATTTTTAAAACTGGTAAATCTACAGCAGGCATTCCAGTTTCAGTATAACTTATAGCTTATAAACCTAAACCTTCGATTTCCATATCTGTATGCTTTAAAGGCCTTTTTTTACCAATTTCAAGTACATTTTTAATGTTTAGGACTTTAAAAATTTTTTTTTGAGGAATTTCGTCAATTATTTATCGAACAGCCTTTTTACGGCCGTCTGAATGATAGCCGGAATTATCTTCTCCTTCTTTATCATCTTCATATATAGTATTTATGTCATTTTATTCTTTTTCAGTGAGTATACTTAGGGACTTTTTGCCTTTTGCTTTGGCTTAGGGTACTCTTTTAAAAGGCGCAAAAAATAAATGTTGGAGTTATTAGACACTAGAAGGATTAAATTACTCTAATTAAGGCTAAATATGAGTTACCCAATCAAGAAATTATTTCTAATAATTAATGATATCCTCATTTGCTTTTACTTAAATATTTTCTAAATGTTAAATGTTAATTTCAAAACCTTTTCTTTCCAAATCAGTTAGTAATTCTCCAAAAGGAAGCCAATATTTATGATACAAATCTTTCATATTTTTCATATTTTCAAAATTGGTTTCTAACTCCTAAAGTTTTGTCATTAATACTTAATATAGGAAAAAAGTCACTTCTGCATCTAAAGCTGAATAATTAACCCAATTGTTTATTAGTTCAGTATCACTATGCATTCTTATTACAGTCGGAAATTCAAGTGTTTTTCCCTCTCGACCATCTTTTAAGTATTTTTTTTTGGCGAATAATTACTTCATGTTAGTTTTAATGTTTATATCTAAAAAATTTCGTTAGAAAAAAAAAGCTGATTATAATTTATTTTAAGCATTTTATTATTAAAGAGTTAATATTTGTAATTTTTTTTCTTTACTTTTTCCTTATAATTTATATTACTAGAGATCTATTTTGCTTATTTTTTCAACTTCATCGCTTTCTATTAAAAGTTGAATTCTTTTTAAATTTTCTAACTGTTTTTCCCAAAATAGTTTTGTTTTTTATAATATTTCCTTTTTTTTTTCTATTATATCGTCTTCATAAAACTTCGAGATAGACGAAAGACTATATTCTTTTGGTCCTCTTGATGGATCTATAAGCCTAGTCATATGCATTGTATCGCCTCCAAAACCTTTCACATTAATTCCATGATTATAAAATATATGTCTATCAAAACCATAATTATGCCATACTTTTTTATATTTTTCATCTTCTAAATATTCTTTAAAAATATTAATAAGATTAGTATTTTAAGCAAAATTATCTATAAATAAACCTAATAAAATATATATATTATTATAATTAAAAACACATATATTTATATTATGTTACGAGGACCATTTCCAAAATCTACATCTAAACCACAATAAGCACTTGCACATATTATTTTTCCATTTCCAACGGCTGATTCAGTTTTTAAATCTATATCTATAGTTTCTGTATCCCATGCATGTACTCTAATATTTATATATATTAATATTTATATAATTGTATAAATTTGAATAAATATATATATAGAAATATATATATATATATAATTTTATTATTAAAAATATATATATTTGTATCTATATTATTTATTTTTATAATATTTTATTTTTATTATATTATAAATCTTTTAAAAATGCTTATTTTAATTTTTTTTTATCATTTTTTTATATTGTTTTATTTTTTATAAATAAATTAATTATTTATATATTATTTTTTTATAAATGTATTTTTTTTTTTAAATTACCTATCTTTTAAGGATTATAATAATTTTACACAATATTGTGCTTATTGTTTTGTTTTTACTATTGTTGTACCTGGAACATCAGCTATGTCTATTGCTTAATTATAAAAACTCATATACTTTTCATATAATCTTTCCTATGAATGACCACCTATACGGGATTTTAATACATATTCTCCAATTAGTTTTTATTCTTCTGTTTCTTAGATTTATTCGTTATTATTTTTTTCAGGTTCTTTAGGAGATTTTTCGAGTTGGAATTCTTTTTTAGTTCTTGAAAATTAATAGGATTTAAAATTTAGAATTTTTTTTTTAATTCTTGAGATATTTTTTTTTAAAAAAAGCATATATTTTTGTTTTATTTATTAAAATAAAAGTAAATAGAGTTCAAAAATAATTTATTTATTATTTTAATTTTATATTTGAATATAAATTATCTTTTATATTTTTTCAAAAAAATTTTATAGTATTTTTTTACATAAAAAAATAAGTTTAAAATTTATATTTAGTTTTTGTTATTTTTATTTATTTTTGAATAAATTATTTTATGTAAACATATAAAAAATTAAATTTTATATAAAATAATTTATTATAATTATATTACTATATTATTTATTTTAATTTATATATAATTTATTTAATTTTTTACTAATAAATATATATTATTTTCATTTAATTTTTAAATTATAAATATATTATTAAAATATTAATCAAATATTTTTATTTATAAATATTTCTATATTAGTATATTTATTTTAAAAAATATTTAAATTGTATTTATTTTTAAGTATTTTATAATTCTTTCAACAGATCTACTATTTATTTATTTAATTATTTTATATATAAGAACATAAAATATATTTTAATAATAATATAAATAATTTATATCAATCATTTTAAAGTCTTCCACTTTATCTTTTAATTTTTTTAATTAATTCTTTATTTATATCCTAATTATAAATGATTATTCTATTAAATGTCATTTTAATAAAACTATTAAAATTTTAGAAAATCTAATATTACATGTGCTTAAAATATGGGCATATATTAAAATAAAGTTAAATAAAAAATTTTAATTTAAAAAATTTGTATTAAATATTTTAAACTAAAACAAAATAGTAATAAATATAAATTCCATTTATAAAAAAATAATTTATTATTCCATTTTTAAAAAATTAAAATTTATATATATAGAAAATAAATATTATTTTTAAATATATATTATATATTTAACATTATAAAAATTAATAATTTATTCATTTTTTTTATAATTAATCTTTTATTCAATTCAATTTTATTATTTAAATCAAAAATTTATTTAAACGTTTTATTATTGCATTTAATAAGTAAAGTTTCTTTATTTATAATAATTAAGAATAAGTTATAATCAAAAAACTTTTTCAAATTATATAAGTATTAACAAAAGAAAAGAAAAAAAATATAAATAAAAAATTTAATTTATAAAAAGCAAAGGAAAAGAGAAAAAATGATAATCAAATTATTAAAAAAAATAGATATATATGGTCGAAAAGTAGAGCTAAGTTTTTAAGGAAAAGATATCTATAAAACTGCTTTTGGTGGTTTTTCTACCCTAATGTTAGTTGCTTTAACTATTTTAGGAATATTTTATTACGGAAAGGAAATAATAACTAAAGACTATCCTTAAGTAATAACAACTTAACGTCAAGTAGATCTAGGATAAAAAATAATATTTAATAAAAAAAACCTAATTATGTTTCTCGCAGTAGAAGACAAGAACAATAACGCATTTTACGATGACACTTATTTTGTTTTTGAGGGCGAAATGGAAACTAAGAATTTAGTTTTGAATAATCAAGGAATATATATAAATTAGCCTATAATAAAAAAGTTAACTTTTGAACCTTGTACAATCGATCATGTAGGAATCCCGGAAGTTTATAATTATTATAAAGCATTAAATGTCCCAAGTTATCATTGTTTTACAGATCCAGATGGCGAATCTTTATTTATGGAAGGAGATTATGATGCCGAAAGGTATTCAAAGTTAAATATTTATATAAAAAAATGTAATACAGAAAGATAAGGTAAATGCAAAACAAATGACGAAATAGAATAAAAGCTTTAATTTTCATTTTTTTCTGCTTTTTTTCCTGATAAAGTAATTGATCCAACAAATCTTGATAATCCTTTTTAAATAAAAGGTAAAGACATATTTACTATCATATCAACAAAATAGAGCAAATACATAAATCTTTATTTCACCAACTCCTATGTATAGACTGATACAGGGCCTTTTTATGAAATTTTAGATATTAAAAGAAATTTTGTATTTGCGTAAATGACTGAGGCAACAATGTTTAGTGACAAAGATTTAATTGCAAAAGTTATTATTAGGCTTTAGAAGGATAAAGAAGATTTTATGAGCAGAAAATATAAGACCATTCCCAATTTAATTGCTGAAGTAGGTGGTTTAGTTTCTATAGTGTAGTTAGTAGGGGCTATTATAAGTATGCCTTTTGCGAAATTAGATATGAATAAGACTATGGTGGATGAAATTTTCAATTTTGACACTACGAATGATGATGATGAGAATAATAATAACAATAACAAAGAAAAAAAATCTAAAGAAATTGTGGAAAATGAACAGGAAATCCTTTAATCTTTAGAGACTTTTGATAACCGGAATTCTCCCGGAAAAGTTGTCGCTAAAGTTGCGAATACTACTAAAAAAGTATTCGAGTGTATAAATTAAACAATACATTATTCTATGTAAGACTATTTATTTCATGTACTGTGTCCGAAAACAAAACGGATAAAATAAAAAAAGTAACTTATAGACAGAGGAATACAAAAAATAGATATAAAATTAGACGTAATGTATATCCTTAATAAATTGTTGGAAATAGATAAATTAAAAACTATACTTTTAGACGAAGATTAATATAAGCTTTTTGAATATTTACCTAAACCACTTATTAAGAATGAAACTAAAGAAGAAGAAGAACTTAGAATAAATAATAATTTATATTAGGAGCCTTATTCACTTAGTATTAAAGGTATTTTGGCTTATTAGGGCTTTATGAATATTTATAAGAAGAAAATGAAGTCTTAGGCTGATTTAAAACTAATTAAATTTATAAATCCTTAAGTGGCTTAGTTATGTGAGAAATAATTGAAAAAAAGTAAATAGATTATGAAAAAAAGCACTATTTAGTAAGAAATCGATGGTTAATTGTAAAATTTGAATAATAGTTAAGGAATTAGTGAAACTTAGTAACAAAAAAAAAGCCTGAAATATGATGGGGGCTAAAAAGATTAAATAAGGATAGAATCAAGGGAAAATAATATTTAATAAGAAGGTAATTAAGATATTGCGTTTATGTCGGATAGTTAGTTATGTTTTGATAAAATGTCAGGAGATGTGGTTTCACCATAGCCTAAAAATGCTTCTAATGTACTGACAAAATATTAAACTATTCCTGCTTTTAATATTAAAATGATTGATTAATAAAAAAAATGAATATATATTTATTATTTATTATATTAATAGGAAATTACATATTATTATTATTATTATTTTCTATTAAATTTATATATATTATAATATATATACATTTTTTTTAATTAAAAATAAATTAATCAAATATTAATGTGTTTTAATTTAAAAGTTGCTGTTTTCTCTTAATTATTTAACGTATTTACGATTATTTTATTTTTTTTTAAAAAAAAAAGGTAAGAAATTTAATATATTTTTTTTTAAAAAAAAAATAATGTTAAAATATAATATTATAAAATTTATTATTTTCTATTTTTTTTTAAATTTTAAATTTTCGAAATTTAAATTTATTTTCAAATATTTTTCAAAAATTCTAGGTAATAAAATATTTATTTTCTTTTTTGGCTTATTTATTACTATTATATTTATTTTTTATAAGTTAATCATATAACCGTTTAGTTAAATAATTAATAAAATTATGTCTTATATATGAATTATTAATTATTATATTCTTCAATATTTTATAAACTATTTTTTTAATATTTTTTATTTTTTAATTAATTTAATATTTTTATTATTTATAAATTCATAAATATCAATTTTATATAAAATTATTTAGTATATTCTTATTTTAACTAAATTTTGAATAAAAGTTGAAAGGATCAGATATTCATTATTAAAATTATTTCTAATAATATCGATGTGATTTACATTAAGAGAAGAAAAAAAAATATTTATTTGTAGTTTTAATCAAAGCATATTCCAAAATATTATATTTAGAAATATATTTTTTTTCATATTATTTAAATTAAATCATTTTTATAGTTTTTATTATTTTTTTCTAATAAATTTTAAAAATTAAATAATTAAAATTATTTTTATTTATGTAAATTTACTTTTAATATAAATGTCTTTCTAAAATTATAATTTATAGAAGTTTATAAATTTACTTTTTTATATTTTTCAAGTATTTATTATTATATAGTTAATTATATAATCATCCCTTATATTATAGTTATATATTTTCTAGTATTCTTTTATTATTATTATTTACATATTATTCAATTTTTTAATTTGATTAAATCTATATATTTTATATATTAAATTATTCTTTTCTTATTAATACTTTATAAATAATTAAATAAATTTAAATTATTTTTTGTCTTTTATTTAATATTAGCATTTTTGTTACTTATATTATTATTTTAATTAGAAAATTTTTCTTATACGAAGCTAACGGTTTTATGATTCCTCTTGAAATTATTAATGTTTTTATATTTATTTTTCATTAGTAATTAAAATATTAATAGATTAAGTTTTTCTTTATTTATTTTTCAAAATCTCATAAAGCTGTTTTTACTATTTTACTACTTATTTTAAAATCTATTGCAAATGTATCAGAATTCAGTATTGGTGAAGTTTTTATATTTAATATTTGATAAGAAAAATTAGATATTTAAATTAATTAAACTTAGAAATTTATAGTATTCGAATGAAAGTTAATAATATTAACTTTAATCAAATTAATAGAGATAATATTATTAAAATTTATAATAAAATAAATTGTCTAGAAAAATTAATAAATAAATAAAAATTAATTAAAAAATAAAAAAATAATTATATTAAATAAAACTAATAAATAAAATAAAAAATATTATTAATTTATGTAATAAATAAAATAAAATAAAGATTATAAAAATTTAATTAAACAATTTTAAATATTTAAATTTGTTTAATAGATAAAAACCAATAAAAAAATGAAAATATAAAGCTTAAAAAGTAATATTAATTTAAAGCATTTATATTATTGAAAATATAGTTATGAAATTTAAATAAGTATTATATTTTTGAAATTAATTATTTATTATCATCTATTTTATAAAAATAATTTAAATAGTAATAAATAAAACTAAAAATATTTTATATTAGTTTTCATTCTTTAACCCATTCTTCATTATCTGAAGACTAATAATTGAATTCATTTTATATAATAGTATTTCCCCCAATCCATGATTTACTTTCTTAAATGTTATTTTATTAGTTTACATCGCCAAAAAATTATTAATTTAGTTTTTATATTTTATTATTTAACGTTTCATTATTTAGTGTTTTAACTTTTGCTTTTTTAATTAATTTATCGTTCTAAATTTTAGTGTTTGCAATAATTTTATTTTTATATGTTTTTATCGTTGATTTTTATAAATTTCTATTTTAACTTTTATTATTAATATTTTAACAAGCTTTATTTTCGTTTTCATTTAATTTTTACTTTTTATTGTTTTTTAAAGCTCCTTATTAATTTTCTATTTTAAATAATCATATAAATATTAGAAAAAAAAAAAAAACCTTATTATCTTCTAATCTATAATAATTCATTAAATATAATATAAAGCAATTTATTTTTAGAATAACCATAAATATATTAATCTTTAATTTTTGTTAAAATTCTGGAAAATTTTGTAAAAACTCTTTTGTTGAAATTCCATTAAATATATCTGTCCCATCTTCATTTAATCTTATAAATTACATTAATTCATCTAATTTATTTTCTATTCTCATTTAATATTCTTAAAATCCAATTTAATTTTTAATAGTTTTTATTTCTTCTAATTATTATAATAATTATTAAATAATGTTTATATCGTTGTTATTATTTTATTAAATTTATATAGATGTTTTTTAAGTAATAAAGTTTTATGATAACTATTATAACTTTTATTATGGCTGTATATTTTATTATTAATATTAATTTAATGCTTCTTCTATCAATTTTTCCATATCATTTTAATCAATCATATTATTTAATTAATATTAATCTTAATCAAAGTTTAATTAACTGCTTTCTTAAATTATTTTTATTAAATTTTCAAAACTTGCATTCTTTAAAAAAAAAATATGTTTTTTGATTTAATAAAAAAATTACCTATTAATTAAATACTTAAGATTAATAATATGATTTTTTCTAAGGACTTGCATTCTCTTATTTAATTTTCTACTATTAATTTATTTTTTAGAAATTAGTAAATATTTCGTTTGCTAAAGGACGCAAATATTCTATAATAGATTGTCCTTATTATTATTGATTTTCATTAGATGATAATTTAAAGATTTTCTTATGTTAATCTTACAATAAATTAAGTTTACTAAATTTAGGAAAACACTTAGAATTGTCAAATAAATTAAGATGTTATTAATCAAGTTAATTATGACATTCATTATTTTTGTTTTTATCATTTAAACTTTAAATTTAGTCTATACTTAGGTTTTCTAATTATTGATTTAAAAATTAATATTTATTATTATTGTTTTATTTATTTTAATGATTTTAATTTAATTTATAAAAATCAAATACTTTAATTAATTATTAATTTTGATCGTCAATATCTCTATCAAAGTAATTTTAATCAATGTATGTGCAATTCGTTTTGTTATCTTATTATTATTGTTCTAATTTTTTTATTAAATTAAAATCAAATGATTATTATTAAAATTATTTTTTTATTTTTTTTAATTTCTCTTTTTCTTAATTTTATGTATTTTTTATTATTTTTTATGATTATTCAATCATCTCCATAATTGATTATTTATATTTTTAAATAGGTTCCTTTATTATATATATATATATATATATATATATATATATATATATATATGTTAATATTTTTTTTTTTCAATACCTAAAATTTCTAAATCTCTAATATATTGTTTTCATTTAAATTAATTTCTGCATATTCTTGGATTAAAGGCTTTGCTATTTCAACTAATAATAAAAAAATTAATTTATGTTATCTTTATTTAATTTACATACTCATTTTTTTTTCTTTTTATGTAAAATTAAATTTACCA